TGTTCATGTGGGGACTGCCCCTATTTCTGAGTGTACAAAAAACCTGTATTTCTGTTGAATAAAGAGTTCCAGTTCTGCACCTAAGCTAGTTTCACCTAGTCTTGGGTGCCATGCCCAGCTATAATACCTTGTTCCTGTGTCCCAGTGGCAAGGAAGCAGTTCTCTGATGGAATCACCCAATCGACGTGCCAGGTGATCCGTCACACTAACAGAGGCACAAACAGCAATAAAAATTGACAGGGGTTTCTAATCCCTCTCTACTCTATCCAAACCTCTGTGTGTGTCCCTGTTAGGGAGATTCACCCTCTTTTATTTGTACTGCTTACCGTTAAATTGAAAGAAAATCTAAAATTTTAGGTTGTCACCAGAACAGGAATAGAGGTGAAATCTTTCAATGGGCACACTAGATCTGGTGACCCAGTGACAAGCAAGGGTTTCCTCACTTTGAAGGCATTTCCTGGCGTGACAAAATCCCCCCAATGGAACACAGATTCCAAACAGAAAACTGATAGGGCAATAATCCCTAAAAAAAATGTTTTGCAGTTATTTCTACTCAAAAGGTACCTTCTTTTGCTCTCAGAATCCTCCAAGTCTCCAAATTCCTCTTTCTTTGCGGGTATGATCTGACTTCTTGTTAGAGGGTGCATACATTTATTCTCCATGTATTCTCCATGGCTCCTCTGTATGTGGGAATGTAGTCACCCTCTCTTGCTCACTTCCGAGATGGACTGTGGACTATGGAATGGGTATAGTGTGAAAGAGTAGTGGACATGACTGCAACTACAACAACATAGCTCATGCCAAACAAACGGAAAGAAGAGAGAAAAGGAGGAGAGGTTCAGAAGCTTACGGGAGACATTACAAGAAGGCAGAAAAACACAGTAAGAAACAATGTAATTAAAAATAGAGTACAGGGCCATTAAGTGGCAGAAATGTATAGATTATTTTTGAAAATAAGAATATCATTCAGTGCCACTTTAACTTGTCAGCTATGGTGGCTACCTGAAAATATTTTGTTTACAATATGTAGTTTGAGTCACTGGTACTAATCTTAGGTTATAATTTGTATGAACAGAGTATAGAAATTCTTGCTTTAACAAAACCATAATAAAGAAGTTACATGCCATTTTTTGGGTCATAATGTTCTATTATTTCATGTTTTTCTATACAGTCTTCAAGCTTCATGGACATATTAAAGTGAAACTGACTTAGCCTCTAACAATCACCAACCAAGGTACCAAGCACCTGAGTTAGTTCTCTAATTGCTCCCTATGTCCTTGTGGACACAGTCTGGGGAAATAACTAAGCTTCCTGCACCATTTTAATGGCACAGGAAATTGTCAGGCGTGGCGTGATTTACATTAACTGAGCATATAGACCTGTTTTTCGTCTGTCTTAACTGCGCTGGTTTATATAGAAATATTTCTCTTCATTCCTCCCAAGACCTCCTTCTTTCTAACTCCTTCGTCACCTTCTCCCATGTTCGCCTCCAGGACTCTTCCTGAGTCTCTCCCATCCTATGGATCTCCCTACCCAATTTGTCTGACTATCTCCTACCTGTTTGCTTTTAGACAAGCCCTGAAAACCATTTTCGTCACAGAAGCCTATTCTTCCACCACCTAACAACTTGCAGAGCCTACAGGGTTAAAAACCCTTCTGCTCACCCTGCTCTGAGTTGAACAAGGGTGGGGGAGGGGGAAGATGTGGGCATAGGCAGAGAGATCAGAGCATGCAGCTCCAGCTCTCCATTCTGTGTGCTCTGCTTGTCACAGAACAGAGAATAGATCATTCCGAAATAACAAGGGAGCTTGAGCCCCTTTTGTTAATTTGGAGCAGGACCTGCTCCTTGTTCTAAATTTACAAGAGTCATGAAAACTTGTAAATTCTGCTTGTCCATGTTTATTTAATAATGTTATTCCGTGAATGTTTTGTTTACTAGGACTAAAACTAAAAGTGCCTACAATTATCCCTCTAATATTACTTTAACTTTGCTGTGGAAGCCTCTTTAACTTTGAGCAAGAGCCAGTGTAACATACCCTACCAACCCACCCCTCCCCAGCCACTGAGGGTACCTTATTGCAAGACACTTTCATTTGATGGGGCTAGTTGGAATGAGAGTCTTTTTGTTAAATGTAACCCAAGCATATATTCACAGTCAAGAAAATGAAGCTTCTATAGAAACACTAAATTATCTTTCTTATAAAACCCCCCTCAAGTGTGGAATGGCACCCATAAAGACAAAAGTTGTCTAGTAGGACTTACAATAGGCCCCTTTCACATGATTGGTTTGATCAGGTCCTGTCCGAGTGTGGGCAGATCCGTTTTTTCAGGCAGACCTGATCAGACCCTCTATTCTCCTCTATGGAGTGGTGGATGTAAATGGACTTGTGTCTGTATACACCTGCCTACCTCCAATCCAATCTGATCCACTAAAAACAAATGGAGGGAACTGATGTGTATTGGATTATGTGGCATATGTTGTCTCTCTTGCCTTGCTATGCTGGTAGACTGCTTTTCTAAATAAAGAATTTGTAAAATAACAATTGGAAAAGGATCCATTCCCCTCCATCTGGCTGGATTGGATTGGAGGACAGTCAGGTGTAAATGGACAGCCGGTCCGTTTACATCTGACTGTCCATAAAGCAGATTAAACAATGCAGGAAGTAGACAAGCAACTGAACACAATTAAATATACAGTACTAAATAATGTGAACACTGGCCTATAATATGGAAATGAACTATGCTGTGACAAGTCTAACCATTTTTTTTACAAACATGGAAAAATGTAACGGCAGTAATTAACCCAAAAAGATGTCCTCAAGTGCACTCTGCGTATACAACCCTTTAGGGGGTGGTTATACGTGTTCCTGATAAGGGGTAGCCCTGGAGGAGGCTACAAAGTACTTGGCACCTAATTGTCCATATTTGCCGGCTATCGTTGGGGCACTGCTGTAAAGTGGTGCACACAAAGCTGTCTCTTTAAGACTGTACTCAATGGATGGATGATGGACTGTTAAGTAAGGAGCAGGCTCCCTTTATGTTAACTGTGGACAGTAAGGGATTAGGCTTGGTAATTTCACTCACCACTCCTGGTATGCAACACATCTGGTCCAATATGCTTGGTGGTCAGCTATCCCCAGAAGCTCAGTCCTGACGATCAGATCCTCACGATCAGGTCCTCTCTGATGCAGGTACACATGGCAACAGGACTCCCCAGCTTGGGTTCCAAGACATAGCGACACTTCGTGGCTCAGTCTCACAGCTCCCTGGGTGCTCAGAAGAGCTCTGTCTCTCACTGGTGCAGGCACACAAGGATCCAATGTCTGCCCGAACCAACTGTCAATTGCCCAAGAAAACTCACTGGCTCCCCTCCTCTGTGTGCAGGAATCTTTTGGAGTTAAAATCCAAGCTCCCATTCACTTGCTTTTGTACAGTGCTCTTTGGGGACTAAATGTCATAGTGTCCGTTGCAGACTTGCATCATCTAGGTGGGAAGGGGAGACGAGTGGCTGCATTGCCGAGTCTTTCTTGCCCTCACAGACGTCATCAGCTACCAGGAGGAGGGGGGTGAGTGGGTGATGAAGTGGGCAGACACACACAGCTTTCAGCTGCGTCACTCTGCTCACATTGGCGGGATGCACGTGGAGGGAAAGCTCAAGTGCTCCTCTAGCCAGCAGACACCCAGCTACACATCTTGCTGTTTTTTTTTTGTTTTGTTTTGTTTGGGCACTTGCCCTCCTGAGGATTTACCCCCCTTCCTGACCATTTTTGGTGTTACAGCGCTGTGTTACTTTTACTGATGATTGCGCAGTCATGCAACGCTGCACCCAAATGAAATTTAAGTCCTTTTTTACCATTAATTGAGCTTTCTTTTGGTAGTAGTTGATCGCCTGTGCGTTTTTTTTTTTTTTCATTTTTTGTGCTATAATAAATCCTAAAAAAAAAAAACCCAACGATTTTGAAAAAAAACAATATTTTTGACTTTTTGCTATTAAACATGTCCAGTGAAAAAATTTAAAAATCAAATTTCATCATAAATTTACGCCAAAATGTATTCTGCTACATGTCTTTCCTACAAAAAATGCCAATACATGTAAATTAATTGGTTTACGTGAAAGTTATAGCGTTTACAAATGGCGGTATATATACTGGGATTTTGTTTTAATTTTTACTAGTAATGGCGGCGAGCAGTGACTTATAGCGGGACTGTGGGACTGCGGCGGATATTCTGATACTGGGGGGAAATGACTTGGTGTCACTCGCCAGTGACACCAGTACAGTGATCAGTGCTAAAAAAAAAGCACTGACACTGTACTAATGGCACTGGGCAGGAAGGGGTTAACATGAGGGGCGATCAAAGGGTTAACTGTGTGCAGAGAGTGTTTTACTAGGGGGCGGTGTGTGTGTGTGTGTTTCACTGTAATAACACTGCTCTGGATGGCTTTGCTGTGCAAAATCACTGGGCAACGGCGAGTAATTACCGGCTGGAACCCAGTGATTGACAGCCTCTGCCGCAAATGGCGGCACGGGTAGGGTGTGCGCGCGGCTCACGCGTGCCCCCTACCTGGGAATGCAAAATCACGTGTATATACGCACCCCTGTTGCCCTGTAGCAGTATTTTTGCTATAGGGTGGTGGGGATGCGGATAAAAACCCTTCCATGTGTACCTTTCTTTAAATCAGGGTATAAGGCTGAGGTTTGGCTGGTTGTAAATTTTGTTTAGCTTGCTGGAATTGGCATGGGGACACATCAGACACCTTTAGCTGCCATTGGGATTTGCTGGGATTCTGGTGTGTCCCTGTGTCTTTAACTACTTGCCAACCGCAGATAGCCGAATGACGGCTACACTGCGGCCGGCCAGTTCTGGGAGGGGGTCATATGACGTCCTCCCAGAATGCGCTCTCCTGCGCGCCCCCGGGGGCACGCACCTGGCAATCTTCGTGATCACTGTGTCCTACGGACACAGCTGATCACGTGATGCCAATCACAGCGGCCTTTTACCACGTGATCAGCCGTGTCCAATGCCACTCTGATCACCGGGAAATGTAATTGCCGGTTCTCGGCTACACTTTCCCCACGCTGTCAGAATGTGGGGATAGTACTGCCGAGAACTGGCAGTTGTCAGAGCAGGGATCGGCACTGATGATCAGTGCCCTGATGATCGGTGCCTAGCAGTGCCACCCACCAGTTCCGCCCACCTGTGCCCAGCATTGCGCCCACCTGTGCCAGCAGTGCATCCACCTGTGCCACCCAGCAGTGCCACACACCTGTGCCCAGAAGTGCCACCTACCTGTGCCCAGCAATGCCATCCACCTGTGCCCACCTACCTGTGCCCACCAGTGCCACCCCCACCAGTGCCCATCAGTGCAGTCCAGCAGTGCTGCCAGTCAGTGCCACCAGTCAGTGCCCAGCAGTTGCACCAGTCAATACCTAGCAGTGCCACAAGTCAGTGCCCAGCAGTGATGCCAGTCAGTGCCACCTATCAGTGCTGTCTATCAGTGCCACCTATCAGTGATGCCTATCCGTGACACCTCATTAGTGCTGACTATCAGTACCGCCTATCCGTGCCACCTCATTAGTGCTGCCTATCAGTGCTGCTTATCAGTGCCCATCAGTGCCGCCTATTAGTGCCCATCAGTGCTGCCTCATCAGCGCACATCAGTGAAGGAGAAAAATTACCTGTTTGAAAAATTTTATAATAGAAACAAAGAAACTTTTTTTTTTCAAATTTTTGCACTTTTTTTGTTTATAGCACAAAAAGTAAAGTGCCCAGTGGTGATTAAATACCACCAAAAGAAAGCTCTATTTTGAGAAAAAAATGATAAAAATTTCATATGGGTACAATCTTGCATGACCGCGCAATTGTCAATCAAAGCTGAAAATTGGCCTGGTAAAGAAGGGGGTATAAGTGCCCTGTAGGCTAGTTGTTAAGAAGGAATGGGCTGCCTCCAGGCACACCTGGCTTTAATTTATCTATTGCTATATATGCTCCATTGTGGAAACTCTCATAGACTAGAGTTAGAACTGTACTATACAGAGGGGCCTTGAGTCAGTGCAGCTTCCATACTGTATATACTGCAAACATTGTGCAATTAAAACCTCTGTTTTTTACACAAAATTGTTAGACAACGCAATTTGTTTTTGCTGACTAGCTTTAAGACCAAATGATCAATAGACAAACTGAAGGAAACATATTTTGGTTGTGATCACAGAGGATACCCTGCACTCTAGGAATAAATGTGGATAATTTAGCAAATGGCTTAAAACCATTTATCTCCATTCACTTAGAAAATGCTTATAGCTAAATTCCAGGCAGATCCAAAAGACACAAATTAATGCAGCAGTTGTGTGTTCATGAATACATTAAATGCATTGTTAAATGAATGAAAGCATAAGGTAGGCCTTACATTACGAAATTGTATTTCCTTCAACCATGAGTTCAAGGAAAGAAAATAGTTTGATTCCCCCAGCAACACATTCAGTGTTGATGGAGGAATCCTTCCCGTGGAGCTATTGTATTCTGACAGTGAGAGGTTTCCTATCCGTCAGAATACAATGATCACTGCTGTCAGCTATAGCAGTGATTGAACATATAAAAACCCCAAAAGATCGACTTCAGTACACTAGCCTGCCCATACATCATCCAAATTTTGATCCATCTATGGCCTCTTAAGTGTGATTGGCGGTCTGCTCTGTCTTCCTTCACTGATTGGGAGATTGGGAAACACTTTCAGCTACAGATCCGTTAGCCGATGCCAAGAGGTCACAGGGAAAGGTGCCCTGAACGTCAGCACATGGCACTTTGGGCGGATTTGATATGACACTCACACTACAGAGAATATCTGTGTGCAATTATTGCTGTTGTTTGTCAATCAAGAAGTGCGCGGCACTAGGTATGTGCGTCCCTGTCCTTTGTTGTTTACAGATTGCTCATCGACCTTGTCCAAATCTTAAAGGGACAGCTGCATACACCCTGGCTGGAAGTTTTTGGATTGCACATTGCTGGTTGTTTGAGCAGTATCACACAGCAATACCAGATCTGCACACAGTGACAGGGGATCACAATGAGCAGATCACTGTGCCACACTGCAACATCACCCCCTCCTTAGAGATGTGAAGGGGGGCTCTGGTCACCAGCGTCCCCTGCACATCAGAGATCCGAGTGTTCTCCCATAAATCAAAGTTCTCCTTTACATCAGAGTCCGCAGGGTTCCCCCTTACATTGGTCTCTGGTCACCAGAGCCCCCCCCATCCCTAAGGAGGGGGTGATGTTGCAGTGTGTACACAGTGACTTGTTCAGTGTGATTCCCTGGTCGAGTAATCCTCCACCTGTAGTGTGCTACCTCTCGCACTACTCGCAGGTGCAATACTTTACAGGCTCCTACTAAAAAAAAATAATAAATGCACATGTATTTGGTATTTTTTATTCTATAAATAATTATCTTCTCCATCCATTATTCCTATCACCAATCCTATTATTTGTAAATGGATCATGCTCTAAATAGGGGGATCTGTTATACAAACAGGAACATAGATAAACTCCAGAGTATCAGTGAATTATGTAAACCTGCGAGTTCTTTATTTACCGGCAGCATAAGAGCAGTAAAAACAAGCGGTTCATCTGAATTTATGGCAACCCAACTACCCACATACAAAACAACATGACATTCACTCAGGCCTGTTCACTTTGCCACAGTCCTGATGCTTTGTGGTGCAGCATTAACCTGGCATGTCAAATTTGGCTGTCATTCCTGCTTGCCAAACGCATCCATTGAAATAAATAAGAAAACACTGTCACTGCTTGGAACGAGTTTGTGGTGCAATGCAGAATTTTCCTTGAGATCAGAAAAAACAGGCATTCAGGAGGTGGCAGTATCACCTTCAGAGTGCCTGCAAACAGAGGTGTAGTGAACTCCTGCTGCCCATGTGAAGAACGAGGCCTTACACTCAGTGGCAAAGCTAGACATTGTTTCACCCAGGCAAAGACTCAGTTCGGCACCCTAACTAACCCCCCCCCCCCCCCCAGTACTGGAACAAGTCAATTCAGTGCCCAGGGTAAAGATGTTAAACTGCCAAAATGCCTAAACAGGTCTGATTTTTGAGGCACAGAAAGGGACTGAGGACAGATTCCCCAGTCCCTTTCTCTGCAGCCTCAGCACTACATACAGAGTGCAGGGTGTGAGGTTTAGGGGAGCGCTATGTACAGAGTGCAGGGTTCAGGAGTGCAATGTGTACAGGCTGCAGCGTTTAGGGGTGCGCTGTGTACAGAGTGCAGGGTTTAGGGGTATGCCATACACAGAGTGTAGGGTTCAGGGACGTGCTGTGTACAGGGTGCAGGGTTTAGGGGTGCATTAGGATCAGGAGTTCAGGAAGGAGCTTGGACAGGAAAGAGATAAAATTACAGACAAGCAGCTGTCTTCTCTCTCCCCGCCCGCTCCATCCTGAATAGATTTCCTGCAGGATGGAGAGCGGGGAGAGAGAAGACCAGGAGAACGAGTGCCGAGGAAGGTTATGTTGCAACTATTTTGTGGCTGTCTTACCGATCGCATGCTGAACTTCTCTATGCTGAGGAGAGGAGGGGATGGCTGAAGGGGACTAGAGGAACTACAGGGGACTACAGAGACTGGACAACTTAAGAATAAGGGGCATGGACAGGAGTGACAACTGGGGTGGCATATACTGGTACCGATCCCTGCAATTTTCCTCCTGCAGCAGCTGAATGCTGATGGGAGGGAAAACAGAAGATGAGGGGTTTCAGCTGCAGGAAGATCAGTACCAGCTATGGTGCCCCTCTCACATGCCCCCTGCCCCCCCCCCCCCTCCAGTTTCGGCCCTGCTTACACTAATGTGTTATACACAATATAACAAATTTTTAAGAATGAAATCCTTTGCTAGAATTTAAATCATAATCATGGAAAGGAAACAAGCATCCTTATAGTGAGCCTTTGGCTTCATACATGGGAGCAAAATAAGCAGGCACAATATGGTGTCTGCATATACTACTAGTCTTAGTCTCCCACTGCACCCAAGGAAACCTACAATTTACTTATGCAGATACCAACATTCTCATGAATATTATTTGCACAAGCATGTGTATATCCACCCCACCCCCATGTGACAATACGTGGCCTAGTAAGGGGGCATTTGGGTGATCAGACAGTGTCATGTCTGTCTGTACAACAAGGCCATGACACTTAGATTTTGAGATTGGTGGATGATATTTGAAAGCAACACATGGTGCTTATTCAACAAAAACCTTTTGCACTGCTACTCTTAATTATACACATCCACCCTGTGAAAGTGAGGTGACCTGGTGACGGAACACATTGGGGCAGCTCACATTATGCCAATCCAGGAAGTGCGATCTGAGTTGCCAGCTGGTGATTGAACACGTTGGGGCAGCACACATTATGCCAATTTAGAAAGTGCAGTATCCGAGTTGCCAGCTGGAATACCTGCAAAGTCTATATTAGTTTAGGTACTTGTGGGTGAGCTTTAGTGCACAATTGAATTTGAGTTTTATTTCATAAGGGTGAGTTTTAAATAAAGGTTTTTTTTTATACAGTAATGTACTATAGAACCTTTGTCTTCTCTGTGATGCTATGCTTTGCAGGAACGGGGGAGACGCTACTTGCTGATGGGCAGAGGATACCATTTAAAGGGACCACATGCAACCTTTGTTCAGTGAAGGATAAAAGGTATTGGAGGAGAGACTAACCCATTTAAAGGGGACACACAATATTTATGACCTTACATTGTTTGGGGGTCATAAACATAAGGTGAAAGCACAACTGGTGTTGGAGGAGTGGAGTAAACACATAGTAAGAGCAAGAATGCACAATAGAAAATTATTAAAGAAGACATATGAGAGACTGTAGTTCACATGGATAATTTTATTAATCTACAAAAAAAAAATGTATGTTTTGGCAAATTGATTTGGGGACAAGATATAAGTAGCACTAAACCATTATGTTTAATTTACATTAAACACATGGTACATGGTGCTTGATTTTATTTGCATTGGTGGTTTTGTACCTGTATATTTTGCCACAAAATCTCTTTAAATTAGGGTTCATGTTGGGCTTTATATAGACATGGACTCAGTATTAATTGCTATCTTG